TACTCGTCTCGACAGACAGATGGAGTGGCCTATTGACAGGAATATGGGCCGGTTCCACTAGTTGAACGACGCGGATGTTCTCGGATGGAGTAACTTCGACGGGCTGCTTGGGTTAGGCTAATAATCAACTGGTCGCGGATTCGATGCCCACCGGGTCCATCATTTTTTTGGACCAAATTGGACTTCGTCTGGAAAACTGGATGTTATATGGATGGGTAGGAATATCGATATTCCGTCCGCGTTACGTACCATCGTCCACAGATGATAAAGGCGTGAAGTTCAATAGAATTTCGATTTCTGGATTTCCGAATATCCAAAGACAAAATAGGGCGGCAGCGCGTCTGTCCTCCTCTATGAAAGAAAAAATATGGCTTGTAGTCAGAGGATCGTAGGTTCGAATTGCATTGCATCAGCATGTTTCTAACTTTAAACAGTATTTCATGTAGACGAAGTCGCGGCCACAGCTAGTTATCGGTATAAAATTATATAGCAATAATAATCGTAATAGTAATTATAATATTTTTAATAATTTTTAATTTATTAATTAATCGTACAAAGTACGTCTTACGAATTTTGGATTCGGTATAAAAAACTTCGACGGACATTTTTTAAAAGAATACTTTCAACTATTTAAATAAAACACTTTAACGGTTTAAAACACGATATATTACTTAAACTTATTTGGAAATGATTTTTGGAAACTTTGGCCCGACGTTTCGGATGCTTTGCAGCAGCCGTGGTCACGGGGAGACTAAGACTACTGAACGACTAAACTTTAACTAATATATCGCGTTTTAAACCGTTAAAGTGTTTTATTTAAATGTGTACTACTCGCGTAAACTATAGACAGTATTTACTTTCAACTATATATAATGAGAGAAAATTGTTAGATCTTATTGATAAGCAAACGAAATAGAGTCATGATTCATTGGTAATTGAAAGTGGCGATGTGTGATAATGTGTGTGGATTACACACATTTGTTTAGCGACAGCGGCTGTCAATATGTGGATAAAACATGTTTATAAATAAACACACTTTTTGTTTGTCGACCTTTTGCTGTTTCTCGAAGCCTAGTACAATTCGTAGTGTATTTATCTATTATTACACATATGAACGACTCTATAACCGAATGGTTAAACGTGTTGCATTGCGATAAGCGCGAGGAAGCATAGATCGTTTCGGTCGGGCGGGGCACGGAAATCTAATGGAATGATTAAAAACAGTACTACGGTCAGTAAAACGGACACAAAAATGTTTTCGTCCCATGCTCCAAAGGGGAAATAGTTTGGGCATCAAAATTACTTTTTGCAAACACGGGTTTATAATATAAGTTAGCACCCAGGACATCGTCCGCGTCCTATCGTTGTTAATAAGTTAATCTTAAAAGATATACCGTCTCGAACATTTTATTAAATCAATTAAAGAATCATTTTATCATATATTTTTTAACCGTTTTCGCAGCAAACGCAACGTAAGCCCTCAAAAAGGTAAACAGACAGATAATATTTCTCAATAGCTAATATCATTAAGCAGACCGTATTATTAGCAGACAAAACAAACAGACAGGACACGCAATAAATTATATCTAAGTAGTGATCACATAAATCATCGAAGTAAATCACATGTGATACTTCTGAGAATCGAAGTCGCGACCCTGCTAATTGTTCGTTTAGATCTTTTGAACTCTATTTGTACTCGGTGGTTAAGTTAAAATATTTATATAATTTAGAAATACAACAAGAGAAGCATGGATATTACTAGATGTATAATAAAATAAAGCAGCCACATAACAACGAATAGAAATGCGCTGTCGACCTTTTATGATTGACATTATATCTAGAGACTGCAACTGAAATGCGGATTTGAGGACTCTGGCTGGGTGGAATGTCGTTACTCCATAATCCATTAAAATTCCAGATTTTCCAGACGTGTTACAATTCTATAAAACTATAAACAAACATCGGATATACTGTCTATAGTTTACGCGAGTAGTACACAATTTTAAAACACTTTAACGGTTCAAAACGCGATATATTAGTTCACGTCTCACGTTTAGTACACGTCTCCCCGTGACCACGGCTGCGCCAAACCATCCGAAACGTCGGGCCGAAGTTAAAAATCATTTTCAAATAAGTTTAACTAATATATCGCGTTTTAAACCGTTAAAGTGTTTAATTTAAACATCGGATATGTTGGAAATTAAACCTACGACCCTTTGGTTATCCGTCATGAATTGATAACATCGGAGCAATAAGGCTGTCCAAATGCTGTGTTAATTTTCAGAACGTTCTTTGTTAAGTTCATTTTGTTGTGAAGCCGTTCGTTATGCCAAAAAAAAAATGATTCCTCTTTAAATGATCCTAAAATATGTCCACGATATGCACCTTAATGTGCAAGTGTTAAGGTAGAAATTACATTGCGCGAGAGATGCATGTATCAATAAATTAAAAAAATGGACGTTGACGTGTAGGACACGGTAGCTCAATTGGTAGAGCAACAGCACGGAACGCTCACGATGCCGGTTCCTGGGGAAGTTGTAATTTTTTACTAATAATTTTCATTTGTTAGAGTTGAACCAACATAACAATGTTAATTTTAAATTTGTATTGACATTAAAAAATACTTTCTTGCATTCAGTGATTAAATATTTTGCTTCTCGGTTCGTTTGCAACCCTTATTTCTTATAATTGCTTCCCAATAAATCCATATATGTCTCGTCTCATGAACGTTTGATTTATTTACACTAATTAACATTCTGTCTTTCCTTAACTATCGTTGATGCGCTTCAAAAACGACTAATTTAGCAAACGTGCGCGCGCGCCGTATGGCGGGTGCAATAATAACGACAACAAACAACACGAAAGCATAGTAATTATTACATTTTTTTTGTAAGTAAGAGTAAGACAGACAAGTTAGGGGTTCACTTATTTTCCTATTTTCGCTTTGGATACTCAGTAATCCACAGATTGAACGTTTTTTATCTGTGATGTAAATTCGATATTTCTACCACCCTTATAATATCCAAATTTTCAGATGATTAGAGAGATGTTTTGGACATAATATTTATTTTAAAATAAAAGTACGTCTTACTAAATACTGTCTATAGTTTACGCGAGTAGTACACATTTAAATAAAACACTTTAACGGTTTAACCGTGGTCACGGGGAGACCACGGCTGCTGCAAAGCATCCGAAACGTCGGGCCGAAGTTAAAAATCATTTCCAAATAAGTTTAACCAATATATCGCGTTTTAAACCGTTAAAATGTTTTATTTAAACGTCTTTACTACTTAGTAGTTAATTAGTTATTTTAACATTTGGCTTTGACGTTAGGGACACTCTGAATTTTCAGTTCACCGTATCCACAGCTGCTGCAAAGCATTTGAAACGTCGCGCTGTAGTCAGAATACCTTAATTGAAAATAAGTTCTTAAATACATTTCGCATTTTAAACCGTATAAAGTGTTAGCTTAGTACTTACTTAGTTAAGTATACTAACTTCTTTTTCTTGTTGTTAGATGTCGCTGTTATCAAATATTTGAAGGAGGATAAAGAAAACCACAATATTTAAAACCGTAGATATAATTTATTTATACACTAGCGCAGTCAGTTATATTAAAACTTTATATATTTACAATTATAACGTGGAAGAATTAAAGTGACTAATGATTACAATTACAATTGCAATAAATATTTACAAAACATAAATAATTAACGTGAGATATTTTACAATCAGTTCGATACTTTAATTTGTAAAGCCTCCTAATTTTATTTACACATTACAATTAAATTATTCTAGTTGGTTATGATATCGCATCAATATTACCTACTTTACAAATTATATTAACAATAGACAGTTTTGTAATTTAAGGAAAACCCACCACGCTGCACAATATTAGTGATTAAAACCGACGATTTGTTCCTACTTTCGTCAAAAAATCCCTTTACCGAACTAGGTAGATCATTTCGTCTAAACCAGGATTCAAACCCTCATCTCATGCTCTTCGCTTGAATATCCAGTACACCAACAAGGCAGTAATGGTGTACCACTGGTGTAAACAGGATTTATTAGTCTACATTTATATTTCATATAAGACTAGTACAATCGTGATGAAAATGCATTTGGGTGTATTTATTTGTTAACTTGACATATTTGTATGGATTTGTTTTTCATTTTGAAAGGCTATTCTCAATATTTATGTAAATGCATTTTCATCACGACTGTACCTGTCCTTACGGTACGCAGGGAATGACCGGAATATTCTACTTAGTGACCAATTTTAAATAATTATTACTTTAGGAACTATATCAACTTGTCACTAAAATATTTCTCATAACTAACTCTACACAATGATGAGGTAAGTAAATAGCTATCTTATTCCTAACTATGTATTTAGCAAAATTGACATAGAACAGTAATTTTCTAGACAAAGCTTAAGCGCTTGCGCATGTTACTGTTTAAAAACACATATTAGACAACTAGCTGTTACCGACGACCTTCTTGACGGTTAATTTTAAAAGATAGTCTCTATCGTACATATTGTTTTGGTTTCTTGAACCATTTTCGAAGCGCACGCAACGATGAAAATTTTTACTCGTTGCATTTTCCACTGTTTCTTCGCTTTTATTGATCGCAACGTGATGTTTTAGCCTAAAGCCTTCCTCGATAAATGTTCTAACCAAGACAAAATATTTTTTCAATTCGAACCAGTAGTTCCTGAGATTTTTAATATTCATATAGCTATAGAATTTATTAACATAGTGCTTTGTTTTTTTTGTTAGTGAATCAAACAATAATCAACGCCACCACATGTGTATCTTTTTACAATTAGCTACAGACGTTCCAAAATGATTTGTGTACCTTTTATCTAAACAGATCTTCAGATTACAGACGATTACAAATGATCTGAGTGTGCCTGTAAAAATTATTTCAATCAAGGTCTTTCCTATATCCGTTGGGTGTTGCCAGTAAATAGAGATCACGTATTTTAACTATAAAGTTTATGTAACACTGATTTCTTCGTCATCGTCACTCTCCGTGACTGTGCTATGGTTATAGAGTCCTTGCGCCATGAGCTGCAGGGCTAGCGGGTTCCGCTGTCCCGAGGACTTCTTGATCTTAGCCCGCTTGTTCTGGAACCAGATCTTGATCTGGGCTTCCGCCAGACCTAGTTCTGCGGCGAGGGCCTGCCGTCGTCGCTCAGTCAGGTAGCGGTTCTCCGCGAACTCGTGCTGTCAAATATAACACAATGTTAGATGTGGAGTTGGAGTATTGCGATACTATACTTATACTGAGAACAAACTAAACTCAGTTAATTTCATACAAATAATAAAAATTCACCTTTAATCTAGCCAACTGTGCAGCACTGAACGCGGTTCTAGGTCTTTTCTCTTCCTGTGTCATTCTCTTCTTCATCCTTCTACTTCTAGGACCTGTTAACAAAAGAAAAATAATATTATTTATCAGTTAAATTAAAACAATCCTATTAAATAAATCACTTTAACGGTTTAAACGCGATATATATTAGTTAAACTTATTATTTTATAGTTTTTGCATTGACGTCAGAGACACCCTCCATCTTAGTCTCCCCGTGATCATGGCTGCTGCCAAGTATTCGAGCAGTTAAAATTATTTTCAAATAAGTTTAACTAATATCTATAGCTTTTAAAAATTTTAATATTTTTCACATATTAATACTCAAGTTAAAAAAATCGACGATGACGTTAAAGCAGCAGCACGGAACGCTGTGGATGCCGGGTCAAGTCCTGCCCGAGTCGTAATTTTTTTCAATTTATTATCGATTTTCAATTCATATATCGCGTTTTAAACCGTTAAAATGTTTTATTGAAATGTGTACTACTCGCGTAAAGTACAGACAATCTCATTAGTTTTTCTATCTAATTGATAATAGTCGTTTAATATGAAGTATTCCTAATTATAAACGACAGGCTGTAATTACAAACGCAAGGGGTTATATAAAGCCAATTTTATGGAAAATAGAACTACTGTAAACATTAATTATTTTAATTGGTAGATTGCATGGTATCTCTCATTAGACATTATTTATTATGGGTACGTTAAGTAACCTCTTATTAGTATATCGGTATTTTTTAGTTTAACTTTATACTAGTTGACATTATTATTTATTTCTTAACTATCAATGGCTTCGGAGAGGTCTCCCCTTTGATAGAAAAGCGAGCTACCTATATGGTGCTACGGAACAGATGGCGCTAGCTTAGCAATTGTAACTTTGGCATTAATTCTTTAGTCTTCTCGTGACGATGGCTGTTGCAAAGCAACCGTAATAAAAAATATAACTTATTTACAATTTATTATACTAGGGTTCGACGTTTCATCAACAGTGAACATAGCTGCAATAAATTTTTATCAAGTTAATTAAAATACACACTGTTTTCAAGCGTTAAATAAACAAATAAATGTGAACTACACACGCAAACTACGGGCATTATTTTATTTAAGTCTTATAAAAGCTTAATAATATTGTCTACATATTTTACTCTGTGGAACATGATTAATGATTACATAGAAAAAACTCTGATATGTTAACTACAATTACAAAATGTAAAATCCTTAATCGGCTATAATATAAGATATGAATCAAATAAAGTGCTTAAGTAACTTAAATGTAGTTAAATCAAGCCGCTATCTCGCTTTTAAATCTAACTAGACAGTTCGTGTGTTGTATGTAATAAATTTAAACGCGGCGAAAACCGATTACAGAGTATAAACACATTTTCGCGCCAACTACGTTTTTTAGTGTTGCCAGTGGAAAAAACAGCACAAGGTTCTATAATGTAATTAACCGGGTTTTATAATTAACACGCATTTTTTCTAGTAGTCTGAATGTATAATTTATTGATTATTGATTTAATTATTCAACAGATACCGATTGATTATATACCTACACGTTATTGCGGTTGTACTTTAAAAAAACAGATACCAAAAGATAATAATGTATTTCTCGAAAAAAAGTGATAAAGAATTTCCTTACCAACTGAATTCTTTTAACTAGCTAGAATAAAGTTCTACGTTTTTAAACAGAAGCTCACAATTTAATCTTATCTGTGGTTATTTATTTGACACACAAGAACATGGGATAGTGCCCTTTAAATTTACTAGACCAAAGAACAGATTCGCCTGAATTGAAGGTGACTTACGGCTTTTTAATTGCAGTCTAAAAATACAAAACCTATTTAGAGTTTTATTCTTAAAATTTATGGTTGAATTTCGTTTGAAGTGAAATTTAAAAAATCTAGCGCAAAGCTATTAAGGGAAACTGTATTTTATTGCTATTTGAATAGAACAGGAAATGGCGTAAACAAATCCTTTGGCGCGGAAAATGGGGAGGATTTTCCGCGGCAATAAAAATTCACTCTAACGCCCTGGGATAGAGCTCACGTTTCCACACACAAAGATTATAGACCGGAGTCGTTTATCACCCGATAAAATGGCTGGTAAATTTTTTTATTCGCGTTTTTAATTAAACAAACGTAGGTAACGGCCAGTAATGTTTTGGGGTTTGTGAAAAATGCTGGCCGCTAATGTTGCCAACTTTAGTACCAAGAGCATTTGAATTTCGAACGAAATTACTATTAAATTAAATGTAACAGTATTTATGGTCTAACAAATCATTTAATTTACTTGTATCTATACTACTATTTAAGCTCACGAGTTTGTTTGTTTGAACGCGCTAATCTCAGGAAGTACTGATTTGGATTGAAAAATATTTTTGTGTTCGTTAAAAAATTTATCGAGGAAGGCTACAGGCTAAAATATATAACGTTATGACTTATAGGCGCGAAGTAACGGCTTGAAATATTGAAAAACATTTTCTTAAATCATTTAAATAGGAATTATTTTTACCTAGTTTGTCGGTTAGTATAAATAGTATAGATAATACGAATGTGAAGCGTAAGATACGTGAACTTGCCTTGTATAATTGCTGGCAACAAAACATTTTACGCCGCGAACTCGGTTAGTGTTGCCAATTACAAACATAATGAATTTGTACGAGACAAATAAATTATACTCCTAATGACCATTACGGGTTGGAGAATGTTAATATATAAAGTCGTATTATTTGTCATTTATAATTGTATAGGGTCATACTAATTCAGTAACCCGGCAACTTGTCTATTTCTGTCTTTTGTCTTAAAAATTTAATATCTAGTTGAAATCTAAACGGCGCAAGATTTGAAGGTTTCAAAATGTCAATCCAATTATTACGTATAAGTAACATCTTTATCGCCATCGTAGCTCAAATTAGGGACTTTCCTTAAGATATTGGATTTAAATTAGTTAGTATACTGAATATTTGTTAAAAGCCTAATTTAAATCCGTTAGAAACATTATATCGAGCACAAAACGTCTGAACTTGTTGATCAGCGATACAGACACAGTAGTATGTCGCACAAAGGGGGAAATGTGAATTTTTTTATTTATACATTTTCACATTTGTTGTTTAATCTTCGAGATATGGGCATATTAATAGAGGATTAAGTACACTATACATTCTACATATTTGAGCTAGCTGTGCCCGCGACTTCGTCCGCGTAATTTTTGGCATCAAAACTCTTTTTGGCATTTAAAATTATAGTTTAGTTTTGTTGTTCTTGCGAGTTAATCTCAAAAGATGGACTGTCGCAGATATTTTTTGGTATCTTGAACCGTTTTCGCTGCGTACGCAACGCTTTTTTTTTAACATTCTCTACTGTTTTCCCCTGTTACTGGTCACAGCGTGATGTTATACAGCCTAAAGCCTTCGACTCGTAGTTCCTGAGATTAGCGCAAACAAAGTCTTCAGCCCAATATTAGTAAAACCCATTGCCTATTAAAAACATGAATAACGGAAACATACCCGCAATTTATATTACGAAAATATTTCTCGAAATGCTCGAAGGGAATTAAACGCGCCTGATTACGGAAATAAAGAAAGAAAAATACGCATAATATAGGTTTTCATAAGAACAACGCACTATTAATGGTTCGATCGCGTGTTGGGCTTAATAAGATATAGTGCGGTCGGTGGGGGAGGGGAGGTGTATAGTTAAATTGAGCCGAGTCACTCGCTACTAAAAGAATAAAAAAAAAAGCAATTAATTGAGAAAAGAAATTTAAAAACCACTTATAACTTTAATTTAGGTTTAAATTTTAATTATTGATAATATATGTAGGTATACTCGAAATTTATTAGATTAAAAAAATACATGTTCGGAAATCGAACCGGCACTGATCAAGCTTTAAAAAATTGAGCTACCGCCTCGCTCGTAATTATCATAGAAGCCACAATGGCACCGTAACGCGTTACTTCATTTAGCAGTGTCTTTCATTGTATAAAACGATTAATATTACTGGAAATTTTTAAAAGAAACTCAGTAGAAATTTAGTAGAAAATTCTGCTAACTCCTTGCAATAAGTAAAAGAGAAAAAAATATATGAATAGTATGTTTATACCTACATATATAAAAGCTAGATCAAAATAATCTAAAAAAAACAACAAGACACTAAATTATTGTATAGAGCAGGTCATTATTTACTAATATATTGCGAGTCTTAAACCGTTAACTTTGCTCATTTATTTACCACTCGCGTAAACTAAAGACAATAAACTTAGTTTTCTTTCTATGCACAAAATCACTTCACAATGTTTTCACACCTAGCGTACTTCCCTTAGATTGAAAAAATCAATTTCAATATTCGCAATAAAAAGACCTTTATTGCCTACAACATAAGGTCGCATAGAAATGTATCCCTTACATTTGATTTCCTCTTTTAAAGTTTTGTGTACAGATTTTTCGATCTTACAGTCTAATATTTAAGGTTGAGAATTGTATACTTTGATATAATGTCGAAGTCATGCCTTGAATACGTAAGAAGACGTGGACTTAGGAAGCTATGGATGTGGTACATGCTGCATGCATTATTCTAAAGAAGAAATTCTTTAGAATAAAAGCAATATTGCGACTCTAAGATCTTAACCCAGGGGGTTATTTTAACATATTTTAATTATAGAATTACACAATAATTATTGTATAGTAGTTTTTTCAACCCATTGATACGTGCACATCTCGCTAAATTTTAATTTCAACTTTAATCTACAGGTTCAATATCCTATTATTTTCATATTAAGAAATCTTTGAAGTATTTTTATTTTCAGGAAGATGGACGATGGCATCACTTAATTTTCAGACATTTAGTATATATTATGCCAGCATGTGAAGAATAAAAGGTTTCAAGTAAAAAAGGGCTTATTGATTTAGATTCCGAAAAGTATTATTTGTAACTATACTAACAGACTATCAATTTTTTTTTTTTTTAGTGACGATGAGCCGATTGCACATCAGCTTATCTGCTACTAGCTATTTCTTTAAGAAAGAACTAACATTATATTATGATCTGAATATTCAGTTTT